AATTGTTAGAGATCACATGAAAGATTATATCTTTGTAATATAAAAAGACTCAATTCTCTCCCTATAGATGTGTCCGCGTGCTTAACCATGTAAATCTCATGTTTTTGTGCTCTTGTTATATTTTACGCGATATATTCTTTCTCTTTAGCTTGAACATAGGTTTCCTAGTGTTTCTACATACATGGATGATTAGTTAGTCTATGAAGAAGGGAAAATCTAATTGGGAGTTCGATGATGCTTCCAAATGCTACACTTCTTCATTGAATACTAGTTTGTATGCTCCATTAATTAATATCTAAGTTTGATTTGGTCAAAACAACCATGCTAAGTTAACATAATATTTTGAACCAAAAGATGAAATATACCTATTATCTTATTTTATATAAATTACATAGAAATAACATAATAAATGTAGAGTGTGCATTAAAATCAAAAGATTTCAGGTTCTTACTTTTGACATTAGAGCTAAACTAATTCTAATACAAATTGCATTAAAATTAATCAATTTATCTAAAATCGTTTATTATGTGTCACGCCGTGCTTCCTAAAATACCCGAGAATCGAAACGTGAACAAGCCCATGACGTATTAGATTGAGAAAAAATATACACTAAATTTTTTTCTTTCTTTTTCTTTTCGTCTCAATCTAATACGCTAAGCGTCAAACACAAGAATATCAGTCACAGGTCCCTGATCACAGCAACAAGAATATAATAACAACCCAGAATAAAAAATTGACATATCATCAAAAGTAAATCATTCTAGACACAAAAATATGGGTCAAACATACACTTATTACAAAAACGGTCCAACTAGGAATATAACAATACATAGTCCATAATAAAAGAAAGTACTGCTAGAAAATACAAAATTCATCATCAAACTAAGAAAAATACGGTAAAAGAGTTCTAATGTTCCATAACTACTACAGAAAAAAACCACTACGCTTCAGTTTGTTCTTCTGCTCCCTCGGAAAGATACTCCGGCTGGGCACACACCGGCTCTGCTGCATCATCGAACTAGACCTGTTCGTCCCCTAAGTCTGACGTACACCATAGAAAACAGGTGTATGTTAGCGTGCATGGCACACTACAATATCCCACATAGAAAAATGAAGCGGTCGAACGATCCATGCTATGACAGTAATAACAATAATAAGGCAGAAAAGGGTACATACAACTAGAGATCTACTAAATCAAGATGTAATCCTCTACTAAACATGATAACATACAGCTATATACATACAGTAACCGGGTCGAATACTAACCATCCTAAAACTCACTGGTCTACCTCTCAAATAGGTCCAAGTTCGCATTACCGGAAGACTGACCGTTCACAATCCCCTACGCGCATCCAATCCCGTGAAACAGGTGGCTAGAGGACTACACGCAATTCAATCTTGGCTTGCTCCGGACTCAGGAAAAGCTCAGGTGACGACACATGTCACTGACCCAAGTGGCGAAATAGGTCACTTGGTCTAACGAACCAACCCCAGGAAGAAACATGTCACTGGTGCGAGCCTGGAAGTTAAGTCAACAATCATATTCGATCATGCGAATCAAGAATTTTCCATCCCAACTCTTCTCATTCTTTCTAAGTCAACAATCAAATCCCTATTAAAACTCTGGTTCACCACCTAATTTCAGTCAACACACCCATACATGTCACTAGGTTTGTTCATGACGCACAATGCCACTAAGTCATGAACTACTAATGGTTCTCAAACACAATAAGGAAATAGTAAATAAGTCTAACTGATTCTATGTAATAACATGATGACAAATCAAATACATTAAAATAAATCGCAAAACATAAATGTAATTATGAACACTAAAATCATGCATGCAGTTCAGTTTTATTAATATCTTGTTATTCAAACTTCTAAACTACTCATAAAAATTATGAGTAGCTAGATAATATCTAATATAACTACGGTCAAAAAGGAAATTGAAAACCGTGATTATTTTATACATAAAATGCTGCAGTCTACAACCATCAACACAAGATGATAAATTAATATAATCCAAAATAAAATAAACTTTTTACAAAATAAATTCCTTTAAACTATTTATAATTATTCTAAAATAATATTTTCCTAAAATAATTTAACAATTCAAAAAACCCCATTTTCCAAATAAATTATTTAAAATTATCTATTTTAATAATTATTCAAAACTAACCTCCCTTTCCAAATAATTTCTTTTCTCGTCATAATAATTCTAAAAACATCTCAAAATAAATCTTTTAATTTTTTTAATTCTCTAAAATGATTCCATTGTCAAAATAAATTCTTTTGAATTTATAATAATTATTCTAAAAATACTATTTATCATATTGTTATGATTTAATTATTATTATTTTACCAAACAACCCATGCAGATAATTACATCACAATTTAATATATACAGATAATTCATAATAGTCTAAAATTCTAATAAAAGACAAGATGACAAGGGATCTTGCCTCGGGTATGTCGAACAAATCGATGTGTCGTGCGAGGCTACGATGAATGTGACGTCGCTAGTCGGAGGGATGACGGCGGCATATGCTGTCGTGCGAGGCTACGATGAATGTGACGTCGCTAGTCGGAGGGATGACGGCGGCATATGCTAATCCCTTATTCTAAAATAAACTCTTTTAAATAATTCTAAAAATATTTTTAAGTATACTTTTAATATTCCCTCTTCCAAAATAAATTATTTTCTCATTTTATAATAGTAATTCTAAAAATAATCTTTAAATATAATAATTTATTAATTCAAATAATATTTTTCTCTAAAAATAATTCTTATCCTTACAATATTAGTTATTTTTATCTATCAACAAACAATCCACGCAGATAACAACTAATCACAATCTATTCTATGCAACTAATTAATGACAGATATAAATATGAAATGACGAGTCGCGAGAAGCAGGATCTTGCCTCGGGTTATTGTCGAGGATGTCGTAGTGGGCAGTGGGGGTCATCGGGGTGGCTGTACGGGTCACAACGGGTTCCGCGGCTCGTCGGAAAGTCAATCGTGTGATAGAATACAAAAAGGGAGGTGTTAGTAGCGATTAGCGATATTCGAAGTGATATAACAAGATGTAGAAAATGAACCCAAGTGAGAGGGAGATACCGTGTGATAGACAATATAAAAGACTACACACTGGTGAAGACGGTGGTAGAAACGGAGACCGAAAGTAGCCAAAAAACGCGTGCGACGTCGGCACAACGATGATGTTTTCTGCGAACTGCTTGCCATCGAGCGATGTTTTAGACGATACTGAGAGAGATAGAGAGTGATTTAAAGCATGATACAAATTAGAAGTGATAGGCAACACATAGATCTATTTACCAGAGAAGAAATTGGCAGAAACGGAGATCAGAGGTGATCAGAAAGTGCGTGTGAAGTCGGCACAAGTCTGTAGTTTTCTGCTTGCTGTTCGGGCTCGTTTCTCGCCGTTTCGATGATGCTGATCTGGGAACAAGGGGAGAGGAGATGGGCTGGGGTGCAGCTGGTCGGAGAAGAAGGAGGGGAGGAGACGGAGAATGGGGAAGTGGCTCGGCGAAGCCCGAG